CCTGCCAACAGACAGAGAAAAAAAAATAGTGTGACGAGGTCCCTGTGTGAAAGGTGCCAGAGGCAAAATATCACCCTCTAATAGGCATCATACTACTAATGGACAGTTGAGCACAGTGAATCATTTGTCTGCTTTAATCATCAATCACATAAGGGCAGCTAAATGTGGCATGACCACAACTCTGTCTGCATTTGTCAGGATGATGATCATAAGCCATTGATCATGTTGCTGAATTACTGCACAATATAAAACGTGAATAATAATTTCCATTTCACTCTGCCTACTGAGACACAACACTACAATTCTTTGATGTGAGTGATAAATTGTGGTTGTTTGTCAAATTTGTGACTCAGACCCGATTTGTTTGGTTGAGGAAACAATGCAAAAATCACAACATTAAATATGCTGGGGAACATTTAAGTTTTTAAAGCCCTTTTTAAGATGAATGGCTGTTGTTAGGATTTTCTGTTTAGCAGGCGCTACAAACTGCCTTAGTCTTTGACCACAGTTATGAATCATCTTCTCCTTAAGATTTCTGGGGACTTCTGTGAAATCTATCACATCTATTCTAACTCATTTTAAAACATTCTTAGTGCCTATCGGTACCTTTTTGATGCCGTCAAATTAAATATTAAATTTCATCATGTTTCTGACAAGCCAATAATTCACTTTTCTACTTCTGCTCAACAGCCTGAGCTCTCAGAAGGAAAGATTAGCTTAGTGAATATCTGTGGCTTCTTTACAGTCCACATAAGCGATTAAATCATTTTTAACTCCAAAGTAATTAGTAAGCAGTAAGTAAACTATGTGTGAAAAGCATATGCCTGAGATGGAGAGTGGATTTCTGCTGTCTAAGGCATAATAATGAATAATAGCCTTATCAGCAAAGCACAACACATCCCAACATGCTGAGATATTATCACTGTTCATTTCCTCAGCTCATGTATCCTGTATCTCTTGGTAGAAAATATGTCATGTGGTCTCTTGCACTGTAACTGACAGCCTAGTCGTGTCAAAAAACTTGGGCGTTCTACCAGGGCTCTCTACACAATACGGGGAAGGGAAAAGTGGCAGATCCAAGCAGATGCATCAGCAGTATTTGTAAAAAGTCACCAAATTCCCGCAAGGGACATACTTGTCATTAAAACCAACAAGAAAAGAACTGATGAGTGCATTAATCAGAGCTTGGCCAACTATCTGTGGTGAGCTGTAGTCCACGGCGTTCCTCCCCAAGACTGCACCTGAGGGAGGGAGGATTAACGCAGCTCCGCACGAGCTCGTGTATCTGAAATCTGCCTGAGCTCATCGTTTCCTTGTTCCTCGCTAAGAGGCTGTGGCTGGATATCAAGCAGAGCCAATCTATTCCCCTGCAGAATGCTGGCTGACCGGCATCAATGCCGTGCATTGTCGAATTATTAATTAAATGTATGCAAGGATAATCAGATGCAGACATGACCAGACCCTTGGGAAACCTAATGTGGAATTGTAGCTCAATCTAAATTGCAGATGTCTTTTTATTTTTTAATGCCAGCTAGCGACGACGTTTTATTGGCCTTTAAAATTTTGCATCACTTTGCACTTGTGTAACTTTTTTGTGATGCACAACATGCACAACTGTGACTTTTCCTTATAATCCCCACTTACACGAAAAGCCGAATGCTCATGAACAAAAAATAAATAAATAAATAAAATCACCTGTAACAAACGTGTCTATTTTTACTGGTAACGCTACAATATTGGCTACTGCAAATTTATGTCTACAGACGAGGTAGGTTGTGGGTGTACGCTGAGGGATAAACCGTTTTCACTCCCTCTACTCAGCGCAAAATGTAAATGCCACAGCTTTCAAAAGTAAAGCAAAGTCTAGGTCCTGCCTCCATATATTTCATTAACTTTTGTTAATGCAGTTGCTATGGCTCCAGGGTATTTGCTCAATGCTCAATGCACTTTTGCTGAAATAATAAGATCTATCAGTCATTGCAAAGCAAAAACGGCTTAATTTGCAGAATAAAGGTCATACTAGCTGTTACTTCTGAGGGACTGACAGAAAACAGTGTTCATTACAGCAAATTCGAAAAGAAACTAAGCCCTGAAACACAGCACTATGCTGAGGTGTCCACATGCAGTTTTCAAAATCAGTGTCAGATTTATAAGACTGAGACGACTTTTTAGGATTTGCCCTTTTGAACCAGACCCAACCCCCAAACAGTACACAGCAGTTGTAGTTCTCCAAATCCCAATACACTAATGGAGAGATTTCACACTGCCAACAGTCTATGTCTACGCCTGCGGGGAAAACTATTTCTAAACATATGCACGAAGCAGTGTTTCAAATCCCTTAATTCACATGTGTTTAAGAGATTATATTGAGCCTGTGTGAGTTTCAACCCCCAGCTGGTCAAATCTTAAATGTAGTTACTGAAAAAAATTGTTAGGTCATCTATAGAAACGGAAATGTAAACTATACATGTACACTTAATCCCTACAATTTGGGTTTAATGAATACTGTGAGTTGCTACATAAAAATCACATTACCACCATGAAATGAATTTTTTCTTTTTTCTTGAGATGAGAGAAATTGGTCAGCCTTCCACAGCTATCTGCTTTCATTAATCAGCCCTAATTAAACATATTGATTGAGCCAAACATCGGGATTTCCAGTTGAAAGGGTTTACTAGACTGTAAAATGCCTGCAAAAAAATGACCTCCACCGAATGCACGAGGCACTTAGGTGCCCCGGACACAGTGATCCTTTAAGTGAGCCCCCAAAATAAGACAAATATGCATCTGTTCAGTAAACAACATCAGAATTTACGGTGTCTGAGCGGCAAATGTCGTCCTTGGCTCCACTGAGAGCTGAAACCACTGAAGCTGAACAGAGTATTACTTTGGTTTCTGGCTCCATGACCTCTCATTAGAGGAAAGTGTTGCTTAAAAATCACAGCTTTAACCAGCCCTACTCTGGATATCAATGTTTTAATATATATATATATATATATATATATATATATATATACCCTTTCTCTCCCATTCTTCCAAGCACTTGCTATGCCCTGTCAGATTGAGTGAACTACTAAAAGACAATGACTGTTTTTCTTTTACTAATTATCTACAAAAGACTGAAAAATATTACAGTTAGGTATTGTTATTCACAGTAATATTAGCAAGAAAAATGTAAATGTGATTGTTAGATGAAATGATTCCCTAACCTGTCAGACAAAGTGAAGGATTCTTTAACTAAATAAACACTTAAAAAGCTATTATCCATTCAGTGTTTACATGATTTATTGACACAAAGCCGAACACAAGGTCATTTTTTATATTTGTGAAAGGCCTGACATTTGAAGATACTCCATTTTCACGGGACAATAGGCAGGTATGAAAAAGGAATATGGTGATTTTGTCAACTTGTTTGACAGCCTAAAGCTGAACTGTGGGCATAAAGAAAGGAAAATGGGAGCAATATTTGCCCACGCTTTCTAATATTTTGACAGGTCATGGTGGTCCAGAATAACAGCTGATTTGACAACAGATGATCTAAATATAAAGGCAGTATTTGTTAAACATGAGTTAGGACACTGTGAATTATTGATGTGCTCCAGTTAACTGGAGAACAAAAAAACTAAATGAACACAGAACATTAAAATTGCGGTGTGATTTAACTAATTGTGTAGCCCTTGAATACTCAGAAATGAAGCTGTGAATATCAAGTGGAGTCTTGAAAGGGGTTACAATGAACAAGCCAGAGTTTCTGGAAACACAACAGCACACACCAAGTGTCCAAGTCTCACTCAAAAACTAAACCTTCACTGCTGTAGTGTCACGGTGCATCCCTGATAAATGACTTTATGACAAATTGCTATAATGCAGAGAACCCATGCTGAGTATGTGGAACAATGTATGCAGCGCCAGCAGGGCAAAGCAACAGTAGCTACAGTGTGCATATTTCTTTATGTGTGTGTCTGTGCGTTGTGTAACTGATAGTGATATCATCAAAACTGTATGTTTTAGAGACGGGTTTCTTGGTTTTGTTTATTCTCCCACAAAGGAAATCAGCAGCAGTAATGATTTCATGATTAAACCATGGTGCAGATCTGCTCATTGACTAACAGGCTAATGCAAGTTTAATCAGATGCTTTACGTTGCACTTTGTTGTCATCTAGTGGTTAAAAAATGGCATAACATGCCGCATGTCATTTCTATTCTGTGTATCCAAAATGTTCATCAGTCTTAATCCTTGAGTTTGAAGGACAGACCATTATCTCAAATCCTGGTTCTATGAATGTCTCTTAAGCTTAAAAAACGACGTCGTGACATCGCAGTTACACAGGGGCCACTTACACTAGTGTTCATATTAAATGTGTAACATTTAAAAGGAACCAGGGAATAAACGATCACATTCAGCACACAACCAACCAAACTAACTCCAGGCAAGGCAAAAAAGCATCACAACAGCGCATAAACTGCAGCAGTTCAAATAAAAGGAAAGAAAATCTAAATCATTAGCATTCAAAGCTTTACAGCTTTTAAAAATGACAATCTTCAAAAGTAATAGACTAGTTTGAAAAGGCAGAGCACATTGGCATACAAAAATATATATGGGATAAAAGAAAAACACTCGGCTTCGCGACTGCAGCAGATTAGAAAACTCTCCGGGATGATACAGCCCTTTTCTTTGGCACAGCGCGCACATTTCCGTGGGATATACTCGCCAATAGCCTAATTAAATGGAAAGCACAATTTGTCACAGCAACCAACAGCAGCGCGCTCAGACTGCAAGTTACTGCGGAGCCACTCCAGCAGTTAAAACAAAAATACACAATAATGTATTTTTCTCTGTCTCTCTCTCTCTCTCTTAAAATAAAAAAAAAAATCTGCTTTAACAAACATCTGGAAACATATTTATCGCCACACATGCTGCGCGTGCCGTTGACACGGCTGCTGCAGCATCATTTACAAATCGAGCCCGATTTGTCGGGGGGAGGAAGCATTTGACTCACCGTTCGCGGAAAGCTGAATTGGAAAGTTATCGACCTCAAGGCGAAAGAATTGACAGGGTCCACCGTGCAACGAGCTCTTCCATATTTAGTTAAAGCAGAAAGTGAACATTCGGGCAGGATCGGAGAGCAGGTACTTTGTGGAGTTGTGTCAGCGCAGGGCTTTTTCACACTCGGCGACGCGCACGAGACAGGTGCAAGGAACCGCCGCCGCTTCCTCCCTCTCCTCTCTCCCCTCCACGGGGTGAAGCGCGGCCCACTTTAAACTCTGGTGACGTCATGGGCGCTGATGCTGATGCTGCCCTCCTCCCTACCCACCTAGTCCCCATCACCCTGCCGTACACCTCTCCGCACATAAACACACACTTGCTTGTTCTTACAGAGAGGATGATCCCACAATATTATTAGAACAACCTGGGAAACATCTCCCCTCTAACCTCAGCAGTTACAGCCTACAACCTGTAGGATCTCTTTCAGATTTCTTATTTAAAGTCTTTTTTTCTCATTCTGCAAAGCATCTTTCATCTAAGCTACTTCTATACATGGATGCAACATTTAAAATTGTATGTGGTGAAAGAAGCAAATTGCCTGGAACAGCATAATTATTATAATTAGATCCTATTTCTGAAAGGATGCACACTTTAGTTCTCCTGTGAACCAGAGAGGGAAAAAAGAGGGAAAAAAACAAGTTACTTAAGACTGAATTTTTTCCCCTTCTCTTTAAACATTCAAATGATTGTTCATAATCCACCTTTACTAACAAATCCTCATCTGCGTGTGACAAATTTAAGGAATATTGCTAAGTTTTTACAGCGACTTCTCGCTTTGCAGTCCTGATGTTTCCAAGGATTTTTTTCACATGGAAGATTTGCAAACCAAACCCTGGATCTGGTTCTTAGTTTGACGTTTAAAGAGATGTGCCGCTTAGTGGGAAATTAGAAGGTGTTAAGAGGAGGGAGACTGTTTAAAGAAGCTGTGCATTTTTTTAAACTGAAAAATAATGGCTGTCATTTTAAATATGAGTCTCTTGATACTTTTATTAGCAACAAAGTTTAAAAAAGACTTCTAAAAACACATAAATGTGCCAAAGTTTGTCATAATGTGACTTATAGCACTTTATTGAGTCCATCTAACTTAAACACTCACATGCCTGACATGAATACTCATGAGATGAACAAATGTACATTAGTCACAGTGCAATCATTGTGTTGTTTTTGTTGGTTTTCTTAAAGAAAAATGCTAAAATATATTTTTTCAGCAGGAACAAGTGGGTTGGCAGAGACATTACATTGTGAGGATGTGGGAAAGAATTGATAGATGAAGAAACATTTTGTCAGTTTTGGTCTTTTCTTGGGACTTATTGATGAAAAATGTATGACAGACATATTGTGGAGCAACAGCTTTATCCTTCAGGTGAAAGTCAATGCAGAATGTGTTGAAGAAATGTGACAAGACTGAAAAGCAAAACATGACATGTCCTGTCACTCACTTTTGTTGCCGATTCTTGTTTTGTTTCCATTGCCTAGCACACGTGTGTTTGCCTGCATGCCAACCAGCCAGTAAGAGTACACTCTGGATTGTAAGATAGAACGTTGGAGGCGTTTTTTGCCTTGGCTTTGTCTGTCCATCAGAGCCCTACTGCATGCTCCCCAGCACAACTGCAACAGATGTGTAAAAAAAAAAGTGTCCAAATGTACCAATGCCACAGCATAAATTACTTTAAGTATGCATTATGCAGCTGTTGTATAATCTGATTTCTTTTTGTAATGCATTCATGAGAAAACATCATCATCTCACTGTCCTATTTAATTGAGGCAAGGCTAACTGCTGCTGTTGTCTTAACTGCTGATTATATGAATGTGATTATTTTCAAATTGCTCAAAATTAAAGTTGAAATAACTGCTGTTGCCAAGTAGAGGTACAACCTCACAAATCCTTATACTTTTTATTATATTATAGTTATAATTTAGGACAGAAAAAACAAAACAAATTATCACATTTGAGAAGCTGTGTAAATAATGAACTCTACAACTTGTCTGTACTTCTATGGTTTCTTATTGTTTTTAGCAATATTGGTATTTTAAATCTTTTTCTGGTTTTGGTTGTTAGTTGATACAAAAGGATTTCTTTTGTGTCTTCATATTTGTAGTGAAGTAGAAATGGTGCATATAGCCCAGCATGTATTCCATGCAGCTGCACTAAACTCAAGCCCCAGCAGAGCACCGTGTGGTGTGTATGTGTGTGTGTGTGTGTGTGTGTGTGTGTGTGTGTGTGTGTGTGTGTGTGTGTGTGTGTGTGTAGCCTTTTACTTATTCTTGCTGAGTTAAGCTGAGTGCTGGACTTTTGTTTTCATATTTTTATGTTCTCGGTCACATATGCAGTCCTCTGTGTTTTGCCGTTGGCTTTGCTCCAGATGAACCACATCTGCCCAATGTTAGAACTGCTTTTGCCTCTGTATTATTGCTTGCTGACTTATCATAATCAAACAGAAGGGCACTGCTCCACCTTCCCACTGTCACTGGCTAAGGGGTAAAACTTTCTTTACATAACATGATAATCTACCACTCTACTTAAGGCTCTTAAAGTTAATTATTCTTTGGAAGAAGTTGATCGTGAATTGAATCGCTTTATTCTTCTTTTATTTCTTGTTTGCTTCTTCTTCATAGAAAGCTTCTTATAAAACATTTTGAGATTAAGAAAATTGGCCTCCTCGCATTGATACTCGAGTCAAGAAATCATGCACTACGTTTATAAAATTTAAATTAAGGAACACTGCTTCCTGTCCAGAGGGAGACACTCAAGGTGAAGGAAACAAAGAAAAAGACAAAAAACTAGAAGGCTCGGCACTTGAAAGTCTGTGCGATGTAAGCAATTACATTAAGTGTACTGAAGTGGGAATTTCAAACCTTTTGCATGCAATTCAACCATCAAATAAATGATCCTTATTTATGTTAATCCAGAAATAGAAAACAGTGCATGAGTACCCACTTGTCCTGCCACAGCTGTCCCATCCTGTCATTGTTTTTCTGTATTAGTCATTGGACAGATTTGCATGTTTGGGACTCAAACTTTTGGCCTTTTTTCTCAGCAGGAGCAACTGGCGGCTGTTATCGGCTGCTTCAGAAGCTGCCTTTGTGGCCTGCTGCAATCCCAGACCACAAATCCCCAACTCCCTGACCAAAGTAGTGGTGGATGAGGCAACAAATCCACAGCATCAAACAAGACATAGTGTATTCTGGTTTTCCAACACTACTGCTCATCCTCAATCAGCCCGTCTGAGCTTGTTTCTTTTATGTCTCATCTGTTGTCTCCTGATGGCACAGCAGTGTCTGGAAAGTGGAGAAAAGAGCGGACTTGTTTTGACCATATCAGGGCGGTAGGCCGGCTTTGTGATAGACTGTATATACAGATCCATCTATCTATCTATTTTCTTAACTGCTTATCCAATTCAGGGTCGCGGGGGGCTGGAGCCAGTCCCAGCTGTCATAGTGGCTAGAAGACTGTATATATATCTTTTTATCTTTTTTTTATTACCCACACTGTTTGCTCAGAAGTGATTCCTGACTTCCTTTAGGTACAACATGCCCAATGACATTTTTTGTTTTTCAGCCTCTCAGTAAAACAAACCTGCTCATTAAAAATACTAAAACTAACAACAACAGACGAATAAATTTCAGGTAAATTTGACCACCATCTTTCTTGTTTCATGGTTTTTCTCAATGTATCAAGCAACACAGTTCATTGAATATTTACGAGGTTGGATAACCCCCCAGTTCCTCCAGAATTAACGTCCCCGTTATTCAGGATTATCCACAGATCACATTTTCAACACTTTTCATTTTAAGTACTTCCTGCCCTCTGGACATTTGAAGATATATATACATATTCTCTGCTTTGAATGATACTTTATCTCCTATGTGTTTTTTGACAAAAAGTTCAATTATTTAGTTGATTTTCTCTATCTTCAGTACGTGTCTTCGAAAATATAGAATCTATGAATATTCAGATGTTCAAATTCTGCTTTTCCTGTCACGCATAAGATGCGTCCCGCCTTAGAAAATCCTATTTTAATGCAGGTGCACTGGAGATTTCATGTTTGCACATCACACGTACATGTCTTAACCTCTGAATGGAGGTGAGAAACTTTCCTCTTTCAGTAGATGAAGATGAAAAGAACTTCTGTGTCAAACTGCACACATACTCCATTCAGAACAGTGAAAGTCAAACATCCATGACATGTAAAAAAAAAAAGAACAAAACCAAAAAACAGGTGAAACAACTTTTTGAGAGGAGGCGTTAAATGCAATCAAAGACAAATAAAAAAATAAGTTACCAGCACTGCAAAAGATTGGAGTGTTAGACAACACGGCACCTACTACAGTCATGTATTCGAATGTCTTTGGGCACCTGCAGATAAAGGTAATACAGACAAACAAAAAACACTTTCAAATGAAAAAGAAAAGACAAGAAAAACAAAAAATTGAAATGTTATCTTTTGGGATTGCTTGATGTTTGCTATCTTGAGTCAGAAGTGGACCTTTCAATTGATTATCGATTCGGAGCACATTCGAAATTCCACGAAGGAATGCCTTATAAACAAATAAAGAGCGAGTTATTGAATGGTCTTGTCAAAGCTCACATTTGAATCCTATTGAAATGTTGTGGGGAACATTTGAAACAGTCCATACAAGCAAGAAAACACTCACCCTGGCATCTGAAGGATTTTTACATGGAGAATAGTCAAAAACCTTGGCAGCCCAATATCTGAGACTTTGGAGAAATTATGCAAAGTGCCCACAAGAAATTAAATATACGAAAAGTGTTTGATGCAAGTCTACTTACTTTTTCCATTACATGTACTGATATTTTTATTGAATAGCAATGTTTCACTTTAAGTGTTCTTCCATCTTTATTTGTAAGCAGCGTATTGAAGAAGCTTAGGGTTAGTGTCTCCTTTCAAAGAGAGGCAACAATTTAGTAGTGATGTAGTTACTTTTTCCACATGATTTTATGTACAATTAGTATTAGAAATAATTATATTTTTCTCTTTCATTTTATGAAATATGATCCCCTTCAATCTCACTGGCACAGTGTGCAAAAACAACGGTCGTTCTTCAGATCGGAGGTTCCCCAAACAGCCCCAAAATAAGCATAATGTTGTTCTTGTCATCCTAATTATGGTTCTGTGACTATATGTGAGGCGTTCCAACCCCTCAGAATGGAAAAACACTGCTGTAGATGTTT